ATTGACTACTTCTCTTACCGATATTATTTCCTTCCTTCTACTTGCTCTGGTTTTATTTTGCTTTTCTTTTTTACATTCTTAAAATAGGAGCTTAGATTGTTCACTTGAGACTTTTTCTGTTTTCTGTCCAGTCTACAGTCCTCTGCTCTACCAGATGAGCTATCAAAAGGTGTGCTCCTGTTTTCTAATGTATGCATGTCATCCTATAAATTTCCCTCCAAAATTTAATTATAGTCTTAGAAAAAGAATAAGATACACCCACAAATTTGGAAATAAATAGCAGAAATTTTAAAGGAGACCAAATGGGAAACAGAACAATTTACCAAGAAAATTCTCCGAGGCAAGATACAGAAAATACCCAAACTCAGCTGAATAACAAACGTGATGTTACTAAAACAATTCCTCAAAACGACTTGGACTGAATGACTTCAAGTCAATGAACATCAAGTCAACTACATATAAGGAGGCGAAACCCACATGAGGAATGTAACTTGCTAAATTTGCATTACAGATAATGCAAGCAGGCAATGTAGAGGACACAGAAGAGTTATAGAAGAGTTTCAGAATCTCATTTTTCCAGTTAGTACTCTTAAATGAACTTCCTAACTACCCAGCCAATTTCACAGATTGCTAAATGCTGCCCAATAGGAACTGAGGCTGGGCATACGTGGAGGATAAGTGTAGAGTTGTAACGACTTCATTTATGAGTTGCCAAACTCCATGGAGAAATACCAATTTCTAAAACGATATATGGAAAAATAAAATATCTCTTTTTCTTACCCTCTGAGCTTTTGCGAGTTCTTCTTTTAATCGTTCATAGCCCTTTTCTCTAACTTCCAAAACAGATGGACTTCGTAAACGGGACAGACTATCAGTACTCAACCCAAAAATATCATCATTGCCATCACAAGCCTCTGTTACAGTAGCACCCTGTAAAAACTCCCTCTCTGCATTACAGTTGTCCTTTCTTGTAGTTAATTTAGTTAACCCAGCTGTGACTCCAGAGGTAGAACAAGGTGCTGGGTCTGTAACATGAATGCTGCAAAGGAGAGAAACATTTTTCAGAAAACATCATCATATGTTTAAATAGAACTGGCATAAACACACAGCTCTGGAACTGCACCATCCAATTTGGTAGCCTCTGTATTTAATTAACAGCATGTCCTCAGTCATACCAGCCACATTTTAAGTGCTCAATAGCCACATGTGGCTAATGGCTATCCTTCACATTAGATGGCACAGAAACAGAACATTTTCATCACAGAAAGTTCTACTGTATAGTGCTATTCAAGAACAAGGGTTGACAAATTGCAGCCTGCAGGCTAAACCAAGCCTGCCACCTGTTTTTATAAGGCCCATGAGACAAGAATGGTTTTTGCATTTTCAAATGGTTGAAAAGAGATGAAAATAATATTTTTGGGCATGTGGAAATTATATGATATTCAAAATTCTGTGTTCATATATAAAGTTTATTGGAACACAGCCACACTCATTCATTTACATACCGCTATGGCTGCTTTCATACTCTAAAGGCTAAGTTGAAAAACTGCAATAGAGACTCTATGGCCTGCAAAGCCTAAAATATTTACTATGTGGTCCTTCACATAAAAAGTTTGCCAACCCCTGCTCTAGAACATTAACATGTATTTCTCTACATGGGCAAGAGTATGCTATTCAAATTTTCTAAAATAGTAAAACTTAAAATAAGGTAACCAAGCAAACAAACTGTCCATTTTTTAGAAACAATAATCCAAAATAAATGTTTTGGTGATCCCTTACCTGATACCAGATATTTCCGCACAATTTAAACGTCTGGGGGATGAATACACAGGTTGTGTGGGAAGTTCAGAAACATCTAACGCATTAGCCTGGATAGGGGTAGAGCATAAAGCTGAAGGATGCGGCCGGTAGATTACACTTGGTGAGGTGTTCTGCTCCTGAGTCCCAGATTCATACACACCAAGAAGGTCTGGAGAAGTGGGTGAAGCAAGGTTTACTTCATGGAAGCCTTCCAAGGGGTCATTAGCCATAGCAAAAGCCTCATCATAAGATAACCTGTGTTAAAACAAAAAGTAGATAATTATTTTTAGACAGTGATATTTAAAACTAAATTAAGATATATAAAT